AACTAGATTGCTGCGTCATTAACTCTTATTGCAAGTTCCTGACGTTTTGTACGTCGGACCCTTTTAGGACCGACTTAGCGAAATACAAGCCTCCAATCTGAAAACTACTTTACCACACTATCTATCTATCTTTGTTCATCTATCTATCTATCTAGCTAGCTAGCTAGATAGATAGATATACAATACCACAATATACACGCCCACTGAGCTAGCTAGCTAAGTGGGCGTGTATATTGTGGCAATGTAAGTATATTTACTTTCTTTTTACGATCATTTCTTGTTGAGATTTTTTTTTGTTTGCATTTTTTTACAACTTCATCTCCAGATGTTTTGCATCTCCTGAAAATAAGGATTTTTTTTCTTTAGAAATAACAGCCATGTGTTATGATTTATATAAACCTGAAATAAAAAGTGGAATCGCCACTTTATTTTTATTCTATTTACTTGCTTTTTCATCTCTTAATTGAACGCACCGACTTTTTTTTTGGGGGGGGTGCCTGATTGTCAGTCTTATTATTCAATGTTTACATTTTATCATGTAGACACGTTAAGTTATTGAAATTAATATGTTAAAAAATTCAAGCCAACCCTTAATAAAATTAATTATGAATACTGCAGAAATGTCAAAACTTTTACAGCAGATAGTTATGTAGGTTTTAGCTAATATTTTTAAATATCTTCAGATATTTCAGTAATTTAGTTACCTCCCTTGATATTTTCACGTGTGTCTACATGATAAACTTCAAAAATTGTACTGTACATAACATTAGCGTTTTGCACTTCACACTTAAGAATTTAATTTTCAGATGAACATCATTTTGTCTTTAGGAAAATAATGAACACAATACTTTTTTCTCTTAGAAAATACAAAACCCTGATGACGACATTGTGCTAACGTCGAAAGTACTCGGAATAAAATGAATACGCATCAACATGGTAATTTTCCTTTTTCCTTTAATAAAGATACTAAAAATTGTAGGTAATTATGAGAGGATTCTAATAAAAACAATTAAACAAAACTTGAGTAAATTATTTAATGAGACTTGCCTTAATGAAAACATGCTATCAAAATAAACGCAATATATATAGTCATCTGTGTGGCTAGACATGCTCTTGCTTCAAGCCGGGATCGAAACGCGACCGATATGGCACCAGGCTCTCAGGCTTAGAACATCAGCTCATGCATCGGAGAAAAGGAATTTTTAGCACCCTATAGACGAGATATAAGCATTAACGGTTACCAGAGTGCTCAATTCGTAGCGAAGAGCTTTTAGCGTTAATAGCCGACAATTTCCTTTTCTTCCACAGAAAATATATATATATATATATTGAGAGAGAGAGAGAGAGAGAGAGAGAGAGAGAGAGAGAGAGAGAGAGAGCGAAAAGGGCAGAGAAGAAGGAAGAAGGAGAGAAGGGGATAGATGGCAGCAGAAAGAGATAGAGAGGGGATGAGATGGAGGCTAAAGTAGATAGAGAGAAGGGGTGATGTGGAGGCTGAAGGAGTGATAGAAAGAGAGAGAGAAGAAGAGAGATGGACGTAGAAGGGGAGAGAGAAGGAAAGAAATGGAGGCAGAAAGAGAGAGAAAGAAGGGGAGAGATGGATATGAAGGACAGAGACAAAGTGAGAGAGAAAAAAAGGGGAGAGATAGACGTAGACGGAGAGATAGAAGGCGAGAGATGGAGGCTGAAAGAGAGAGAGAGAGAGAGAGAGAGAGAGAGAGAAAGAAGAGGAGAGATGGAGGCTGAAGGAGAGAGACAGAGATAGAGGACAGAGGCAGTGTGATTGTTTTAACTGTAAAATTAGCGAGATAGATATAAAAATTAAATAAAAAGAGACATAAGAAAGAAAGAAGGAATGAGAGAGAGAGAGAGAGAGTGAGGAGTAGGAGGAGGAAGGAAAGAGAGAGAGAGAGAGAGAGAGAGGAATAGAAAAAATGAGAGGGAATTATAATCTACCGCCCTCAGCCTCGCCACTTATTTCAAAACCCTTCAATGTTAAATCGTTTCGAAAGAACGAAAGGTAGTTTAATGTTCTGATACGCCATCACGGTAGGCAAGGAAGGCAGTCAAATTTTAAAGATTATTAACTATGAATAGAAATTCAAATTTTTGTAGATTTTTAACTTAAAGCACTAAATTCAATGAATTATTTCGTCATTTCTGATTATCTTCATCCTAGATATATTTCGCCCCCAACTTTACAAACTCAAATCTATTTAATATCCGCCATGATGTCGCGTCTACGTGCAGTGGATGCTGCTACAAGTCACATTTGGTAACGGTCCACAAAAGTAGCATAAATTTGTTTAGCGGCTATCTTATGAAATACACATTTCTCGCTTTCAGCACCACTGCCACCACTATCACCACCTCCGCTTCAGATCCATTGCTGACACAATACAATGATACAATAACAGAAGAAAAGTCGTAATTACATATGAATGCATACGTTTTTACTTTGAGGCAGTTGTAATCTTCGATTATAATCTTCGGAGATCATTCGTAATTTTGATCCTCATTAGAGACTCAACACTAATAACTTTGGATCAAACTCAGCTTATCTCAGTAAATATCTATTAGGTTGGTGCAAAAATAATGACGTAATAATGTCGTTTTTTGACGTTAAAAATACGTCAAAAACGACATTATTACGTCATTATTTTTGTACCAACCTAATATATTAACGATTATACGATGTCTTGCTGAAAATTAACGGAACTGGTGTCCCGATTTGTTTAAATTCCAAACGAGAAACTATATTATATTACACTCTTCAAATTAATCGTTTCGACCATTTAGCAAATCTACCCAGTGCACGAGGAAAGACGAGAATTATGGCATCGCAAATCGCGGCTGCTCCGCTACGACAATACACCTGCTCACATCGCTCTGAACAACCGACAGTTCCTGGCCAAGAAACAACCTCCCTATTCACCTGATCGTTCTCCGTGGGGCATTTTTTTTCCTTTTCCACAAGCTCAAGGGGATAGTCAAGGAAACCCGATTTGAAGGCGTGAAGGCTATCAAAAGGGCCGTAACTACTAAGCCGAGGGGCATCCAAGAAAATATCCTTCCAGCGTGGCAGCGAGAACTTTAAAAGTGCATGAGACTAGAAGATGAATTCTTTGAAGTGGAAACCATATCGCTTGTTGTCTGGAATTTAAATAAATTATTTGTGACTCTAGTTCTGTTACTCCTCAGACAGATCTCGTATATAGCCATACATTCATTATGTTTTGAACAGTTCTTGGTTAGACCGACTTTTTAAAATTTGGCCATATGTCTAAACTTTAGATTTTTGTGGTGATGGCGGTGGGAGGGGTGGAATGCTTGATCCAGCTTAGAACTTTTTAGCACATCCTCGCGTGTATGTATGGGAGGGTATTGAGATTTCTTCCAGGAATATCCAGGTAAAGCGTATTAAGTTTTCATACAAAAGTTGTCTTTTATTTGTTAAACTTTTTGACAGTCACTTCTAATCTTTTGCGAGTTTAATTCAAGGAGCCTATCGACTGTTTTCATTGAAATCAATGCTCAAAAAAAAAAAAAAAATAAAAAAAATAAACACACCAAAGAAAAAAAAAACGAAAAAAAACAAACACAAAATAAAAGCCAACCAAACTGAAAGGAGTTGGAATTAAAGAAAATATAATTTGTGCGCCGAAAATGACGAAGCTTCGTTTCAATTTAGAAAACAAACCAATTTTCCCCTCCAGCCAGGCTTCAGTGAAATCCGAATTTTAAAAGAGTAGAATAGGGTATTGAACAAAAATAAATTAGTTGAATTGGGATAATTTTCCACGGGCAATTTCGCTTTTTACAGTTATCAGCAGTTTTGGAATAATTGCTTTATTGTGGATTACTGGAGCGATGCTAAAGTAAGTTCTCGATACTATATTTATTTTATTTTTTGAATGTAAGTATTTGCGTTCTGCTATAAAATTACGAAGAGTCACCGTAGAATGGTCACAAATCCAATGAGTTCGATCAGGAAAAGTATTCCAATATTATTAGGATATATATATATATATATATATATATATATATCCGACAGTATGAAGAAAAATATACAGAAAAAACAAACAAAAATCTTAATATGCAATTATGCTGTATTAATGTTAATATAAAGTCAACGTCGGACGTTTCGGTCTTTGTAACATGGAAGACTTCAAGCTTGTATGAAAATATAAGAACCTATTGATCTCTGCGTATTCCTACATCAACGGAAGGGATTTATTGACGAACTGTTTATATGAGAAAATAGTTCAATCGAGTTTGTTTAATATTTTAATATTTTGAAATCATCTTCGAATACGTTTTCACAACATCGCCCACGTGACGACGACGTGATCATATTTTAAACGGAACGCTGATCTTATATAAAAATTTCAGTTATCTGTTTGGATTAGTTGTGCTCTTATGTCCATCGTCTTTTTCATGTTGAATTTTATATGTTCTAATGTTAAATATGTTTTATGAATATGTCCTGATGATGGTCTAAAATAGACCGAAACGTCCGACGTTGACTTTATATTAACATTAATACAGCATAATTGCATATGAAGATTTTTGGTTGTTTTTTCTGTATATTTTTCTTCATATGACTACCATGAACAGACAAAAATTAGTTTTATTATTACCACTCATGATAATAAAAAGTAAAAATGAAAAAGAGGCTAGGTTTCGTATCTCGCTCAACAGAACTAAATCGAGGTAAATAGAGTAAATTATATAATATAAAAAAATGGACAAAGTGTATTGGTGGGAGAGAAAAAAAATATTTAAATGGTAATTAGTTGGAGGCCTAATATAAAGTCATTCTGTTTGTTATTAAAGCGTTCTTTTTGTAAACAGAAGGACTGTTAGCTATCCCGTTTTTCATTTTTACTTTTTATTATCATGAGTGGTAATAATAAAATTAATTTTTGTCTGTTCGTGGCAGTCATAGAATTTTGTACCACTAAACATATCTTTAAATATATATATATATATATATATATATATATATATAATAGATAATAATAGCTGGAGACTCGGATTCGAGGATACCCGTCTACTAGGCTCGTCAATCCCTATTGCAGACGCTCTCTCAGGCAAATTTGTGTTTGCTCAACACCCACAGAGCCAACTTATGGTTTATACTGCAACTATGCTGAGCAGACCTTAGTTACAGTTTCTGGGAGCGAGCGTCTTATCTAGCGTCATCAACAATTTGAACAAGGCCAGCGCGCTCAAGCCCTCGACTTGTGGCTTCGTGCTAGCACATCTATGGACGGCCCACAAGAGTTCCGTCTACCCAGTTTCACACACAAGGCTTGGCTTAACCCGTGTTATGGTTTTCAGGCATTTTCCAAAGGTGCCACACGCTTTGATCGACCTCAATCCATTCCGTTAACGTCCTGACAAATCGACCATCGATTCGAAACGGGAACTCATCGTCAGAAATCGAACATTTTAACCACTCAGCCATGTACCCATCATACATATATATATATATATATATATATATATATATATATATATATATATATATATATATATGTATGTATGTATGTGTGTGTGTGTGTGTGTGTAGGTGACCGTTTAGAATGTTCCGAAATAAAAGGGAGACGATGAGATAAAGAAGAAAAAACTGTAAACGACGCATTTTGCCGAACGTCTGTAACTTTCAGCGTCTCCAAGTCAGAATGAAAGACTAAACTGGATGTTAAGGAACAACTTCTCTGAGGATAAGTACGGCTATAAATTTAATTACCTGAGGAACAGAAACCAGAAAGTGTCTTTCTGTCTGTCTGGTTGTTTTTGAGTTGAGTTACTAAGGGGAATTACTGAAACAGATCACCAAAGGCATGGCACGTGGAATCAGGACAATCTACGCACGAGGAACAATAAAATACTTCAGTTCGAAATCCCAACTCATTGAAAGAAGGCCAGAGCGTACAACGCCCGAAACGACAATTAAGCATTAGTCAGAACAATATATATAAGGTACGGCAAAAATCATAAATTATAAAATTATGATTTTTGCCATGCCTTTAAAACCCAGTAAATTTAAAAATAAGTTACTCCAAAATTCGCTTGAGGATGAAATGGAACTAATGTCTTTAATTTAATTACAAAATTAAATTCGAAGCTTTTAGCTTCCATTTTTGAAACATCGTTAGAACTGTGTAACGAAAAAAAAATATATTTCAAATCAGTTAATTTGTAATATTAATGCTCTGTAAATTTACATTGATCACTATTTTGTAAAAATAAATATATATATAAGAACACCGGATTATATATCTTACTGTTCTTTCTTTTTATACATACATACATACATACATTGGCACCTCGAGGTGGTGTAATGGTTAGAAAGCTTGTCACGCTAGAACTATTACGACTGAGTAGTGAGTTCGATCCTCACTGAGCACCCCATACTTTCGGCCTTGTGCCACATCTGAGCTACGCTTGTAAAATCGCTATAAACATACATACATGTGTGTGTGTATATATATATGTATATTATTTATTCGAAAATTATAACATAAATATGTTATAAAATCACTACAAAAATAGCCATTATTTTTCAACACTTCTGGTGTCTTATTAAATGATGGTGTTGAATGTAGAATAAAGAGTTTTAAATGGTTCAAATCAACCAATCACCGCTCGATAGGGGAAACGCTGTGATATAAACTACAATGACCAATCAAAATACAAGTATATGACAATTCAAAAAACTTGACAATGGACCTTGGTTATAATAATTAATGACACAATGCTAGGTTTAGACTAAAGTAGAAGTACCTCATCCTTTCTTCTATCACTCCTATCTGATCTTGCTATTTCCTGTAACCCCTTGCGTCCTAGTGGCTTCTCGCCTTGCTTGGGGTGAAATGCTTAAAAAAACAAAAAAACTGTAAAATTTAAAATTAAAAGTTACTAATTTTAAATTTCAAATTTAATCTGTATTAAGTTTAAAATATTATAAAATTATTTAAAAAAAAAAACTGAGGATAAAATACATATATTTTATTAATTATTTTGTTTTAGTTGAAAAGCCAAAATCTCCTTTAATTGTCATTGAGAGACGTTCTGAAATGTCCAAGTCAATCTCTCAATTTATGGAGGGAGCTGAAACTGAGAATTCAAAGAAGGAACCCGTAAAACCTACATGAACTAGAGGAAGAATGGAACAAATATTAGTCAAGAAACATGCATAGATTCTAGTTTTCAAGATTATTGGTGGTGCTAAGGTGTAAACTGTTGTATCATCGACACAGATACTAATGATAGAGTCTTCGAAAAAGTTTTATTTGCCCACGAATGAAAAAATATGTGAAAATTCCTTCTGAGGTTGTTATCTATTGTGGATAAAGATTTCTTTTACTGTCAAATACAGTAATTTAATAAAGATTCCTTTAGCAGATGTAAATTGTGGCACCATGCATACCTGACGAGCTGAGAGAAATATTCATAGATATATGATTTGTTTTTTACGGTTTATCAACCATT